ATATACAATATATGTCTCTATTAATAAATGAGCAATATAAATTGTATGGATTAAGTGAAAAAACAAAATATTATTGATACTGTACATAAGCAAAATTGTTGAAAAATATTATAATAATAATGAAATGAGTTATTGTAGTACATTGAATAAATTATATGACAGAAAATAGATTAATGAGAGTAGAAGGATGAGGTAATTCAATACAAATAATAAAGATAGGTAGAAGATGGAATAATAAAATCATAGAAAATAAAAGGATATTTAATTTATAAAGGAATAATAGGAAAAATAGAAATAACAAAGAATAAAAATAATAAGCATATAAAACAATGAAAAAAGTCAGAGAGATAATAGTTATGATATAATATAAAATCAGATATATAAAATATGAACTAAAAATAAGAAAATAATTAGAAATAAATCAATTTAAACTCTAAAAGAATTAACTATAATCAAACAAGTAATAAAAATAACTAAACTATATTTATTATATAAAGGAATATATGATACAACTCCTTATTAATTATTGTAAATTTGATATAAAGTGATAAATAATAAATTTAAAGATAAGTTGTATGTGTTGGTTGATAAAATGAAATAATGAATATAAACATGAATAATGAATATGTTATTGATTTGATTAGAAAAGTGATGTATTATTATACAAGAATGAAATAAGAATTAATATAATAGATAGATGATATTCAAAGAAATGAATATTGAATATAATTAAAAAATAGTAAATCATAAAATTAAAGAAATAGAAATAGAATAAATATTAAATGAAGGGATTGAAAATAAAAATAAATAAAATAATGATAAACAAATACATTAATAAATTTAAATCAAACAAGTTGATTTTTTAGAATATTGATTGAATCAAATTTATAAATAAAACTACTATAATCAATTCATTGAATTCAATCAATATTAAAAAGAATGTATTTCTCAATTTAAATAAAATACAAGATGAAGTAATATTTAGTTTGTATAGAAAAGATAAAATATTAAAAAATGATTAAAATACTATCACACTTTGTAAATACAAGATATTAACAGTAGAACACATTTTATTATTTTGTATTTGTCATAAAAAATCATAAATTAAGAATTATGATAATACAATATTATCATATTAAATAAAAAGAAAATATAAATGAAATAATCAATACAAAAAATCAACATATAAAACAATATTCAAATATAAATACATCATATGATATTGAACAAATAAATAATATCAAAAAAAAAAATGAATGACAATATCATAAATACTAGATGTATATATAATAAATAAAAAGAATAAAACTAATCTAATATTTGATATGAATATTATTGCATATCATAATACTAATGGTATATTTAAATAAAAGAAATAAGTATAAAGAAATGAAGAATATACTAATTAAAATAGATAAATTAAAAGATATCAAAATAATTAGAATAGTAATTTCAATAAATTAAATAATAAATGAAGAAAGTATTAAATTAAATAAAGAAATAAAAAAAAAGAAATTAACATCACTAAAGAAATCAAAAACCATGTAATTAAAAACATGATGGATGTCATTGAATATTGATTCTTCTATAATAGAAAAATACTCGTTAGAATTATTAAAAAAAAAAACTCATTGACGAGATTAGTCTCCAATACTCTAGAGACAATAGAAACTAATTCTCTTAATTAATTAATTGCTTTTTATTTTAATTTATTTGAAAACTAAAAACTAAATTAGATTAAAAACAAAAAAAAAAACAAATTTATATTATTTTTTGTTTTTATTTTTTAATTCATTCTTATAATTATCATTATTCATTAACATGGAAAGTTCTCAAGAAATCACTGAAAGAATTAAATTAATTGAATTACAACTTCAAAACGAAATAATGGAAAACGAGTTAATGAAAAGAACGATAGAGTCATTACAGTTTCATATCAATTCGTTAGAACATATTCAACATGTTATGAGTACTGAGATTGAAGAATTAAAAGAAGAAAATCAAATATATCACAGTGAATTAAGTACAATTTGTAATATATTAAAAAATTCATTTGGAGAAGATGATGAAGATGTACTTGATATAAGTGAAGATGCTAATAAAAAAAAGATTGTTTCAATTTGTCTTGGATATGAAAAAGAAGTGAGTGACGATTGTTTTGATTTGATTATCAATGAAATTAATAACAATTATACAATAAGTTATTTAAAAGCATTTAAGAATATATTATGTCACCATCCTTATCTTATTAATGGAGAGTTTAAAAAGGAGATTTGGCACATAATTGAAGATAAACTACAAGGGAATATAATAGAAAAAGAGTGTTGTATTGAAATGCTGATTTATATCTCTACATTATTATATGATATTCCATTAACAGTAATTGAACTCCTCTCATCAATGTTTCAAGAACAAACAACATCAATAAATATAAAAAATTCAATACTTATTATAATGAGCTATCTTAGTGATAATAACTTAGCCCCACTTACTAAGATAGTTCATCACATTATCTCTTTTTGTTTAAATCCATTTTATTTAAATGAACAAAATTATGGAACAGCTACTATTGTTCTTTCACATATACTACCATTATTACCAAACCAAATAATTACTCTTATTGCACCTGATGTCATTCGTTTAAATTTATGGCAAATTGATTTTGGAGAAGAATGGAGAAATAAAAATCATATTGACCCACATCATTTAATTTTACTTTTATTTAAATCAAGTGAAACTGTTGAAACATTAAAATCAACTTTTATCCAAAATGTACCATGTTTAGAGTATATATTAAACCATCTTGAATTACGTTCTGATGAATCTCTTCAAATATTATATGAAATTATTGATTTAATACCATCAAAATGTTCTAAATTTGTTGAAAAATTATTAGAACTATATCCATTTACTGGTGATATAAATGCTTGTTTAACAGCATGTGACATATTCCTTATTTATTTACCAACATTATCTTCTTCATCATTTATTTTACTTAAACAACAAATACTCAAAACTATTCAACCATTTATTGTTTTAAATGAAAAATTAACAACAATATTTCATCAACTCTCTACCTTAACAATTTAAGTGATTTTTTTTTCTTTAACTACTCAATTATCCCATTCTTACTTTTACTTGTTTTCTTTTAACAAGTTTATTTCTTTGTTTTTCTTCATACTTTCTTCTTTCATCAGGTGTCATAGCATTAATCTTCATTGCTTTTTCTTTTTCCATTCTCTCCGCATTTTCTTCTCTTATTTTCTTTGCTTTTTCTTTTTCTTCTTCTTCTTGAATTTCTGCTCTAATTGCTTTACATTTTTCAAGAAGATAAGGTTTAATTGTAACTTTATTGATAGAATCAGCTAATCCAAAGATAAGACTACTAACTTTTGAAATAATTTCTCCATCACAAATTTTAATACTACATCTCATTAAAGATTTTTCATCACGAATTGATGAGGACTGATCAGATAAAATGAAATAATTAAATTCCTTTTCATATAAGTTGATAAAATCGATCATTGGTTGATTTAAAATTCCAGTTGAATCAAATGCATCACTAAAAACAACAAATTTTTCTGATAATTTCATTTGTGCTCCATTTCTAGTTTTACAGAATTTTGCAATTTCTGAATATTGTTTTTTTAATTTTTTTTCTTGTTTACTTTTACAAATACCATAGATACAAGGTGGTGCAATACCTTTATTGAATACAACATCAATTACTAATTCGTCTTGTTGTTTAGTAATTAAAGAAAAGAGATGACTAAAGAGTTCTTGTCTTTTCACCAGATTGAAATTAAGACATGCACCTTTTATTAAAGGATGATCATAGCATTCAATAACAAAATTATTACATGAAACACTCATAATTCCAACAGGAACTTCTGATTTTCTATTTCCTTTTTTAAAATATTTAAATATTGCAGCATGAGCAAAGTGTGCACTAATAAAATTAAGATATTTGATTTATTATATCTATTTTTAATAACTAAGTGTCTATTAAACAAACTATTCTGTTACTACACTAGAATTACTAGATTTACCAATAAAGAAATACACAAAATATACGATCACTAAGAAGAACGTAATGTACTCTATTTTATAACTTTTGGAATTCACATCTTTTCGTTCAGAAGCTGGTTGTGGTTTTCTAGGTCTAACAAACTCTGGTTGTGGTGTTTGTAAATTTTCTTCTTCATTAAAGTCTTGTAAATCTTCATTTGTTTCTTGAGCAAGGGTTGAAAGAAGTAAAAGACCAGTAAGTAACAATAATTTCATTAATAAACTATTTTAAGTTCAATTTTTTTATCAAAACTATAATTAAACTATAAAAAAATTAAAATTTAATTATATTTTAATGTTAATATTAAAAAATTAAAATAAAAAAATTAAAATAAAAAATTAAAATAAAAAATTAAAATAAAAAATTAAAATAAAAAATTAAAATCAAAGAAAAATAAAAACCCTTAAAGAACTTTTATAATAAAAAAACCGAAAGAATGGAAAGTGATTATTATACTATTTTATTACAAGAAATAGCTTATGAATCATGTGAATTTGGGACAAGTATAAAAAATATAAAAGAAATAATAAAAAAAAGGATTGAATTTGAACCAACGAAAGAACAATGGGAAATAATATTTTATGAACCGATAAAAGAAAGTATAGAATTATTTGAGTTTTATGAAAAAAAGAAAGAGATTAAAGAAAAAACAATAATAAAAGAAAGGATATATGAAGAAAATAATGAAATGACAATAAAAATGAAAAGAGAACATCACTTATATTTTTTAGGATATAGAGATACAAGTGTATATTTATCAGACTTATTATACAACGTATTGGCGTGTATTGGAAAAGAAAGAGGAAATGGAATAGCGCAATATGAGTTATTAAAAAAAGTAGAAATAGATAATAGAAATATAACGTATTATGTTAAAAAATTAACAGATGCTGGATTAATAAAGAAATATCCAATTTTAAAAAATTCATGGAAATTAGTTTTATCAATTTTTGATTTTAATTCGTCTTGTCGTCAAAACTCAGAAGATGAAGATTTAATTGAAAAATATGAAAATATTTTTAAAAGAGTATTAGAAGAAAATAAAGGAAAATATGTTCCACAAAGTGTTATTAGAAAAGCTTTAGGACTTACTGGCGCACAAAATAAAAAAAGATTTAATTCAGTTGGTAGATTTATTCAAAGAAAGAAAATAGCAGAACTTGTTCAAGGAACAATTAAAGGTGGATCAAGTAAAATTAGCATGTTTTGGAAATTAAAAGAAGAAAACAATTTAATTCAACAACCTTTTCAAATTAATGAAAACCAAATTGGAGGAATTGATGAAGAATTTTCAATTGTTCAAGTTTCTAATAATCCTGAATTTTCAATTAATTCACAAATGAATTCAATGATTCAAATTCAAGAAAACGATGAAAATTCAATAAATGAAATTGGAAATACACAAATTGATAATGAAGAAGATGAAGAAAGTGTTGGATTTCTTGGAAGAGAACATCCGTTATTTAGTGAATTATATCAATTAGTTTCAGTATCAAAAAATGGAGCAACAATAAGAGATATTTCAAAGTATTTAAAAATGTCAATTAAATTAGCAACAAGAATAACACAATTTATTGCAAATACTAAAATGTTTGGAATTACAGTTACAATGGAAGGAAAAGTTAGATCAAAAACATCAGAATATCGCTTATGGCTTAAAGAAAGTGCACCAAAAATTAATGAAGAAGAATTTAAAAAAGAAGAAAAACAAGAAGAAAAAGAAATAAAAAGAAATGAAAATAAAAAAGAAGAAATAAACGAAAATACTCTCCTTTCACAGTCTAAAAAAATTAGAAAATCTACAACTACTTTAAATAAAGAAAGAACTCGTTTAATTAATGAAATTATTCAACGTGAAGGAATTGTTGGATTATCTGAAATTAGAAGAGAACTTGGAATGAAAGAAAATACATCAGAACATCATAAAACTATTATGAGAATGCTTCAACCAGCAATTACTAAAGGATTAATTGAAATTAAATCATTAAAAATACCATTTGAAAATGGAGGATTTAGAAATATAAAAGTTGTTATTCAAACAAAGCTAAAAGATGTACATCAAAAAATAAAAGAATATATTATTAAGTGTTCAAAAATTAAACCAATTAATAAAAAAGATATTGAAAATGTTGTTCAAATTGAAAAAGAAAATATTAGTGAAGTTGAAAAAAGAGAAGAAACTAAAGTTAAAAAATATTGGAAAGGAATGATCAAACCAGTTATGATTAGAGTTAAAACTTGTTTTATTGAAATTTGGAAATTTATCTTTGAAAAACAAAAAATAGAAGGAAATAATTTTGATATTAAAGAAAATGAAATAAGTAATGAAGACCTTAAATTTATAACTGTTGAAGAATGTACTAAATGGTTAAATCAATTAGAAATCCCTCAAATTAAAATGAGACTTATGGAATTTGTAGAAAATTTAGAAATTGGAATGTTTAATAAATTAATTGGAATTGTAAAAGAAAATTGTCCATTTGATGAAAATTTAATTGAACAACCAATAAAAGTAAAAGATTTAAAAACAATTGAAAGAGAATGGTTATTAACAAATAAATCATGGATTAAAAGATTAAATATTGTTATTTCATTTTTAAGAGATATGAGACTTATTCAAAGAGATATTGAATCAGATGATCCTGACGGAATGGTTGTTTCTAAAAAAGGTATTTTCTTTATTCAAAACAATCAAACAAAAGAAATTACAGCAAATATATTTAATTTCAATTCATTAATTATAGTTAATCAATTTTGGGTAAATGTTGAAGTAAAATCATTACAATTTCCAGTAACTGATCCAATAACACAAAAAACTGAAGAACCATCAACAATTATTATTGAGGGACTTCAAAATTTACCATTATTAAAAAGAAGTATTTCATGGCACACTGGTTCAATTTTAACTAAACCACAGAGAGCTATGATTTATGACCATATTTATAATGAACATACAGAATATGACCAACAAAAGTTATGTGAAGAAACAGGATTTAGTGAACAACAATTAGCACATGTTATAAGTCAATTTAGACAAAGATGTTTAAAGAAAAAACAACCAATTGTTGATAAAAAATTAAAAATTAGAAAATTTATTTTACCACAAAAAAAAAGAAAAACAGAAAAAAATGATGAAAAAAAATGGAGTAAAGAAGAAGATAGAAAAATATTAATTGCTTATAGAAAATACTGGTTTGAAGGAAATATTGAACAAAATGATGACTCTCTTCCTGACTATTTACCTGATGGTATTTTAAAAAAATTAACAAAAAAAGTTGGAGCTAAAATGAAACAAATAAGTGTTAGATTAAAAGAATTGTTGTTACCTGAAAATCATGAAATAATTGAAGAAATATTTGATGAAGATTTAGAAAAATATGATGATGAAGAAATTGTTGAAATTAAAAAAAAAGAAAATAAAATATTTGATGATGACGTTCAACTTATTTTTAATAGTAATGAACAAAGAAATGAAGTTTATAAATCAATGGCAATGCTTAGATTAAACCCTGATGAAATTAGAAATTTAGGACTTGACGTTGATATGTTATTTAAAAAATATCAACACGCTTTAAGTTTTTTAGCTGAAATGAAATTTATTAGTAAAGACAGAAATCCTTTTAGTCCAATGTTAATGAGTTTAACTCCTTCTTTTATTAATCTTACTGAATCTAAATTATTTTCTCAATCTTTCTTTAAAAAATATACTCCAATCACTTCTTGTGGTTGGTGGGAAATTCAACAACCTATTCTTCAAGAACAAGTTGATGAAATGGTTATTCAACTATCTTTTATTTCTGAAATTCACCCTTATATATTTCCTAAAGGTGAGTTTGCAAGTGAAAAAATTGGTGAAAGTTCGTTAATATTTTATGAAGAAGATATTAATGATAAATACATTTATAATAAAGGAACTCAATGGTATTCTTCTTTAACTTTTATCAAAAGATTAAAATGTTTTAGTGATAAAGAAATTATGTTATTTAGTCGTATTAAAGATATTTTTAATAATGAAGAAAATAATTCTATTGAAAGAGATTTAACAATTAGTATTATTGTTAATCAAGTTGGTTATTCCATTAAAATTATTGAACCTATTATCGCTTATATGTTATTCAAAAATATTATTATTAGAGAAAAAAGAATTCATTCTTTACCTCTTGAACAAATTATATCAGATCCTTTAGATTTAGATAGAATGACTCCATGGTCTAAATTTGATGGTACTATTGACATCGACTTATTTAATTCTTTAATTCACAGAATGAAATCTTTTGTATTTAAATATCCTTCTGTCTCTGTTGAAAATTTATGTAAAAAATTCCCTTTTGCTCAAGAAGATACATTATATTTACTACAGTATCTTGTTGACGAAGGTAATATTGAAATTAGAACGAATGGTCTATTTGAAGATGGTTTATATGTTTTTCCTAAAATTTCATCATTTTTTTAACATTATTGTACTTTTTTTGTTTTTTGTTTTTCTTTTATTTTTTTCCTCTTAAAAGTATTATTTACTATAAATATTATACTTTTTTATTATTCTTTTCAATTTAATAAAAAAAAGGGTTTTAAAACTTAAAATAACGAATTTCTTTGTGAAATGGTTTGTCTCCTTTCTTTTTATTTAATCCAAAACTGCGAACAATTTCTTACTCATTTCTTTAGGCTAGAGGACCAAGACATCACTTAAAGAGATTAAACGCACCACACCATTGGATGCTTTCTAAATTAGGAGGAACTTTTGCACCAAAACCATCACATGGACCACATGGAATGAAAGAATGTCTTCCACTTATTCTCATTTTGAGAAATAGATTAAATTATGCATTAAATGGAAGAGAAGTTACAATGATTGTTAAGAACAGAACAATCAAAATTGACGGAAAGATTAGAACTGATACCAGATATCCAGTTGGATTTATGGATGTTCTTTCTATCCCAAGAACTAAAGAAAACTTTAGATTAATGTATAACACTAAAAGAAGATTTTGTTTAGTCCCATTAACTGCTGAACAAGCCAAATTTAAATTATGCAAAATTGAAAAGAGAGTTCTTGGAACTGGTGCTATTCCATATATTGTTACTCACGATGGTAGAACTATTAGATATCCACATCCAGAACTTCAAGCTAATGATACAATTAAACTTAATCTTGAAACAGGAAAAATTGTTGATTTTGTTAAGTTTGATATTGGAAATACTGCTATGATGATTGGTGGTAATGGTATGGGTCGTGTTGGAGTTATTGTTAAAAGAGAAGTTCATCCAGGGTCATTTGAAATTGTTCACATTAAAGATGCTAAAGGAAACACCTTCACTACTAGATTAAACAATGTCTTTGTTATTGGTAAAGGAACAGAAACTCTTGTTAATCTTCCACTTGATAAAGGAATTAAGAAACCATTATTACAACAAGTCAATGAAACTATTAAGAAGAACAAGATGCAAAAGGCTGGTATTCAAAAAGCATCAAAGAAATCAAAGACCACTACTGAAAAGAAAGTTACACCAAAAGCTGTTGTAGAAAAGAAAGAAGAACAAGTTGAAAAGATTTACAAGAAATATCCAAAGAAACAAGCAGCACCAAAGAAATCTAAAGGAAACAAGAAAGTTGTTCCAGGCAAGAAAATTGGTAAGAAATAAGTAATTTGTCGTGAGTTTATGGTTTTATAAAAATGGTATAATAAAAAACCCTTTTCTAGGTTTTGTTTTTAAATAATATGTTATTTAAATAACATATTTAATAATTATGTTATTTGAGGGACAAAAAGAACTTCATTTAAATCATTAATTCTCATGTCTTTAACTAATTCACCATTTTCTTTTTCTTCAACAAATGGAATTGGGATGTCAAGTAATGGATTAGGAGGAATTGGTATGTCAACGAATGGGTTAGGAGGAATTGGAATGTCAACAAGTGGATTAGGAGGAATTGGTATGTCAACGACTCAATTACCAGGGGTTAGTTCAGAAGGAAATTTTAGAATATCAAATGGAACATTATTAACAGCTAAAAGTATTGATGTTTCAAAAACTAAAGTAGTGTATAGATATTCATTTATTAATGATACACCAGAAAATAGAACACCAAATAAATATCCTACGTTATTTGAAGCACCATTATCAGAAACTATTGAATCATGTTTATATGAAGGAGTTAGACAAACAAATGGAGAATTTAGTAGTGTAGAATGTACGATTATTGATAATGGGAATAAAACAACACTTTCAATTCCAAAGAAAATTATTGATGAATTTTGTCAACATAATAAAATTAGTGATATTGAAACAGTATCACAATGTTATCTATTAAAAAGAAAAAAGGTAGGAATTACATTAAGTAATTTACAAACACATTATCAATTATCTATTATTTCTACTCTTCTTAAATTAAAAGAAATATTTGAAATACCAAATGATCAATTAAAAAGAATTGCACCGAAACTTGCTAAAGATTTATTAAATGAAATATTACATAGATATGATTGTGAGGATGATATATTAATAAGAAATTCAGCATTTTTATTATTATCAACAATCTCAAAAATTATATCATTTGATGAACAAGATATGGAAAATATTAATAATATTCAAAAGAAAGCAGAAGAATCAAATATGATTGAAGTTAAAATGAAATGTTTTTATTGTGTTGTTAATTCATTTATTAGATATAAAAATAATGAATTTCTTCAACCAAATTCAGATGGAACAAATATTGGATTATTAGAAGAATTAAGAGAAGATCCATATTATGGATTATTATATGTAATTGTTATGAGACTTCAAAGACAAACAAATAGTTTAGTTAATTCATTATTAGGAAAACTTATAAATAATTCTAATGTATTAACAGAATTAGCATTAACATCAACAGTATTTGAAGATTATGGAGAAATTTGGTTAGGATTTTATTCACAATTAATAATTTCATTTATTCTTACAATTGATGAACAAAATATTAAAGATATTTTTGAATATCAATTTGAATTTGGAGCAAGATTATTAGATTGTGTTGTTATTGCAATACATCATTGTAATAAAAATATTTCTATTTGGAAACAACCATTATTTAGTTTTGTTGAAAATATTTTAAAATATGGATTAAATGAAAAATGTATTGGAACTATATTAGTATTTCTTATTTCTATTTGTAATTGTAAAGAAGGATCAGATAAATTAAATGAGATTTTAATAACAAATAATTCAACACCATATTCATGGGATGAAGTATCAAAAATATTTAATCAAGCAACAATAAGATTTGTTAATAAAGGAATGGTTGTTGAACAAACAGAATGGGTTTATTTATATCTTCAATTATTAAGAAAAATATTTAAATATAATCCAAGAATTGGATTTGATTTTGCATATTCAGAAATATCATTTGCTTCATTATTAGGAGAAGCATTAACAAGTAATTTATCTGTTAGATTTAAATCAGCATGTTTAGATTTATTAAGTATTCTTGTTGTAAGAAGTGATGATATTGAACAATTTTGGAATTCAATTATTAAAAGAGCTAATTTATTTAAACAAAATAGTACATGGGATATAGTTAGAGAATGTGATAGTAATGATGGATTAATATTATTATCATCTTTTGTTAAAATTTTTACTGTTTTACTTCAAAATTTACCTCCAACAATTGAAGCAGATTTAGTTGAAATTTCACCTATTACAAAATTTTTAATTTCAGCATTTAATAAATTACCATCAACATTAAAATTTGTTTTAAAAGAAAGTGAACCATATAAAGGAAATGAAAGAAAGTTTTGTTATTCTATTTCAAGAAGATTTATTATAATGTTTACAGAATTAATTAGACTTATAAATCGTATTATACCATCTAATTGTGTAAAAAATTTAAAGGATATTCCTAATTTACCAACAGAATTAATTATACAACATATTAATGAATCAATGTATAGAACAACATCAGGAATATTAAATACTATTATGAAGATATTTTCAATTTCAGCACGTGCTATTGAAACAGAAATTTGTGCACCATCATTTATCAAAAGAATAAGTAATGATATTTTAAAATTTTTATTAACATTTAATGATATTTCAGAAAATATAATAAGTATTAAAAATAAATTAATACCAAGTAATGTTATTATTAATCTTTTTGAACAACAACCTGGATTAATTTCATTTGTATTAAAAGCAGGAATAAGTTTTGAAATGGGAAAAGATTGGTTAAAAATATTTGAATTATTATTAGAGAAAATGCCAATTATTAGATTAAATGAAGTTTTTAAACAAGATCAAATTTTTGAATCATTATATCATATTTTTATTGAAGATTTAGAAATTGGAGGACCATCTCTTGATATTGTTGCTACATCATTAAGAAGAAATGGTGGAAATGAATTTGGATTAAGAGTTATGGGAGTTGAAAAAGGAGAAAATAATATTAATGAAGAAATTATTAAATCATTAATTAAATTATTTGAAAATGGAAATCTTCAAAATAAATATGTTAGTTCATCAATTATTAAATCATTATTATATAGTAGAGTATCTAATACAGTAATTAATTGTATTGAACAAGGATTTATATCAACAATATTTAATAAAATTATTCGACCATCAATTGATGGAGATGAAATTATTCATAAAATCAATTTAATGTTATTAAATATTTATTATTATTATATTCGTATTAATCAAATTCAAATAAATTCAGATAATATTCTTCAAGTACTTGATTTTTATACAATATATTGTCTTAATATTAAAGAAGAATGTGAAGCATATGAATGTTTTAAAAGTTTATGTGGAATTATTTCAATATTATCAAATAATAGTGATATTTCAATACTTAAAAAATATAGTAATATTATTATTCAATTAATTAAATTAGGAAATTCAATAACATTAACACCATTAGTAATGACATTATTAACATTAACAAATTCAATTGTAAATGATTGTATTTTAAAAAAAGATGAAAGAGAAATAATATTATTATCTCAAAATATTATAAGTGGATTAAATATTTTTATAAGTAATCCTATTGTTTTAAATTGTACTTTATTATCATTTGCAAAAATGCTTGAATTTGAAAAATATGATTTACCAGAAGAAATTAAAAATATTATGCCAAATTTACAATTAAATCAAGCTCATTTAGTAATACTTGCATCATATATTCAATATCATAATATTCCTGAATATCTTTTAGCATCATTACCAACATTATTTTTAAATGAATATGCATTTCCTTTATTACTTACTCTTTCTACAACAAATAAAGGATGTTTATTATTATTAAGACAAGGAATATTTTCAGTTCTTCAAGATACAATTGTTCTTACAAAAAATAAATATATATGGAAAATATTAAGAAATGTAAGTGATAAATGTTCTCCAAATGATCTTATTTCAATTCAAGAACTTCTTCGAATTAAACCAGCAATTATATCAATGATTAAATTCCCAGAAAGATTAATTAGAGGATCTATAGATGGAAATATTATAATTAATTATACATTAGATAGTCTTGAAGTTCAAAGTGATATTATTAGGTTTGTAGTTAATGTTTGGAATGGAAATGGAGATCATCCTATTATTGGTGATTTATTAAGATGGTTGATTGATATTAGAAATTATAGTGTAAGATGTATTAATCATACAAAAATTAATAATATGGGAAAGAAATTATCAGAAGAAGATTGTTATATGAATGATATTATGTCAAGTGCATTTGAATATATTGTTAAAGTTATTATTCAAAAACCAACAGAAAAAATATTTAGTATAACATATAATGAATCTATAATGATTAATTTTTTAAGACAATTATATTCTACTTCTCAAAGTAAATTAGAAATGGCAAAAGATGATTTTAAAAAATTAGAAAAACTTCATAGTGAAGAAATTACTAATAAAGAAATGATTGAATTTGTTGGTGGAGAAAAAGAAATGAAAAAACAAACTCCATTAAAAATTCAATTTGATCAAATTTATAATAAAAAGAAAGTAATATTATCTATGACTATTTCTGAATTAAGTACGATGATTAATACTTTTACACAATATTTTTCTTCAATAATTAATTGATTTTTTTTTAATTATTTAAAAATATAAATATTTTTAAATGAAAATCAATAAATACTTAATAATTTGTCATACATTGATGAAGATCATTATACCATTCTTGATATGGTAATTCAATACCCATTATCATTGTTAAAGAATTAATCTCATTATCATGTATAAATTCAATTTCAATTAACCATTCTAATTCTCCTTTTTTCTTTGGTTCTCTTAAAATTACTCCAGTAACTTTATCAAAATATATTTCAATTATTTTATGAAATTTTTGTTTCTTTTTTGTAAGGAAGAAACAAATATTATTCATTAAAACAACAGTACATAATATCTTTCTCTTTTTATATTTAATAACAATTTGACCATCTCTAATAAATTCTTGATTTTCTTCAGATTTAAATCCTTCAATATTTTTTTGATATTCTTCTAATTGTTTTATTTTTCTTAATTTCTTAGTTGCTAAATTAAATTCAGTTGTAATTTTATCACATTTTAATTGTGCTTGTTTAAGTGAATTATATTCATCAACAATAATTTCTGGTGTAGTTTTAATTAATTCTTTTAATAATAAAACATATCGTGGTAATCTTTGAATTGGTTGAATTAAAAATTGATCTATTGGAATTCTCTTTTGTTTAAATTCAAATACTTGTTTTATAACTTCAGATGAACATTTTTGATAATTAAAATTAAGTCCTGAATCTGCTTTAGTATAATATTTCATATAAATATTATAAGTTTCTTTATTATTAAAAAATTTATTATAAATATCAGAAACAATAATTAATGGAATATCTTTTTGTTCTTCCCATCGTTCTTCTATTTCTTTAAATAATATTTTATGAATTTTATAAATTTCTTCAATATTATTAAATAATTCTTGATATTCATCATCTTTCATTATTTTTTTCATTATTGGCATAATTTCATTAGTAATTTGATTTAGTTGTTGTACATATGTTTTTTCTGTAGTATACATTTCTTGTATAACATGTCTTCGAGTAACTTTCTTTAAATTTAAATCAGCTAATATTTTAGCCTTATCTGAACTAATATTAAGATTTATTTGATTTTGTGTAATTGTTGTCATTGTTGGAATATTCATAATTTCACTTCCCATTCTTAATGTTTTTTCTATATTAATTTTTTTCTTCATATTACCTTTTTCATTTCGTTGATGTGATAAAAAATTTTGTCTTCCATCATTACTTCCATGATTTCTCTTACTAAATATTATTGTTTCTTCATTACTTAATCCTTTTATTGTTTCTTTCTCTTTTTCTTTTTGTTCTTGAATCATTCTTTCTACAATATTAACCTTTTTCTTAGTCCCTGTTCTCATTGTTTGTCTTTTTTCATTATCTTTTATTGATGATTCTTCTTTATTACCATTATTTTCTTCAATACTTTCTATATCATCATTTATACGTATAATATTTTCGTTTTGTATGTTTGTAGTTTTTAAGAGATTATGTGAATTACTATCAAATTGATTAAATATATTTTTTGTTCGTTGAATACTATTTAATTTTGTATCTTTTAACTCTTCACTCAATGGAATATTATCTATAGAATTATAGATTTCATTCATAACATCTTCTTCATTTAATTCATCTTTGGTTTGACTTTCTTCTTCTTCAATACATGATAATAATTCTTGTATATTATTTAATTGTTTTTTCTCAATAGAAGAAGAAGTACACACACTTTGAACTGACTTTAATAAATCTTCTTTCATTTTTATATTATCAAAATGTCTTTTTAATTGAATAAGAGTATCCTTAGTGTATTCATCTAATGAATTATCTTCAATAACTTCTTGTAATGTTCTTGTTAATTCATATCGAATGAATTGTTGTCTTGATTCATTGAATCTACAAAGATTACTTATCAAATCACAAACATATCCAATACTTTTCTCTGTAAAAAATGAATGTGCTTCTAATATACTAATCATTTTCAATGGTAAACCAACATCTGCTAATTTTAATACAACAGGACGAATAACACTAATTTGTAATAATGAATGTAATAATGCTTCTATTGAATATTTATCTACTCCTTGTTCAAAAGGAAATGTTAAAAACTCTAATAAATAATAAAATATATCAGAATTCAACATCTGTTCAATATTTTGTGGAATAGATGAGAAATAATCTACTAAATCTAATGCTTGTGAAACTAATTTATCTTCTCTAGAATTTAAAATATTAATTAATACATTTAATATTCTTGTATTAAATATTCTTTTATTAAATGCCATTAATACATTTTCTTGTCTATTTTTCATTAAAATTTTAAGAAGTTCCATTGAATAAAACCGAATATCAAAATCAGATGATTGATCAATCAATGTAACTAATTTATTAATTCCTTCATATTTAGTAAATAAAATCTGATATTTTGTATTTGATGGATTTAGTAATATTTGAAATGTACTAATAAGAATTCTGATATTTTTATTTGTTATTGTTAATAATTCAGTTAATGGTTTAATTAAATTTATAAATGTCTCACTTGATATAACCATAAAACTACATCTTTGAATAATACCAATAACATCGTTTTGAAATTCTTTCATTTCTGGATCTTCTAAAATGAATACAAATTCATTTAAAAAAACATTATCTTCACTAAGTAATCTCATTATAAATTTTTTATTATCAATAATAATCATATGTTTTAATACCTGTAATATTGTTTCAGTAGCTATTCTTCTCACTGGAAGATAATTGAAATATAAAAATTGAGTGAAAAACGAAACTTGAACTTTATACACAATCTGTTCAATAATCTCTTGATTTTCTTCTTTCCAAAACCAATCAAAATACTTTTTTGTTATTTCTTCATTTTGAGATTCCATAACTTTTATTAATGAACAACAAATACGTTGTTCTTCTTCTTTTAATGGTTCTAATTGATAATGTCTTAATGTTTCCATTTTTTTTTTAATTCATTTTGAGTTAAGTTCTCAATTAGAATATACCAATATCATTACTCCATCAATTTTATCGAACTTTGTTAAAAAGAAAAAAAAAAAAAAAGAAAATTGAAAAAAACAATATTGTTAAAAAACAAAAACAAGAAAAGATTTATATTAAAAATATAATAAAATAATATTACAAAATGTGTTATAAAAGAAATCACAAAAACAAATAAAAATAAAAAATGTTAAAAAAAACCCTTAGAATAAATACAAGAGATGACTGAAATTAAACAACAACATACATTTGAACTTGATGTAGGTAATTTGTTAGTTACTGATCGATCAGACGTTGATATTGAAAAATTTAAAAGTGATTCATGGAAATACATTGGAGAAATTGCAAAAAAAGCTAGTAAAACATTAATTGATAATATTTATGCAAGAGAAGATGTGTCTGATCACAGTGACCCTTCACTTGGTAAAGTAGTTATATTAGATGAACCAGAAATGAAATTTCCAAGAGAAAAACCATTACCAGCAAGTAAAGAACCCACTAAATGGGAATTATTTGCAAAAAGAAAAGGAATTAAAAAAACAAAAAAGAGTGGAAAAGTATGGAATCAAGAAACACATAGTTGGGTTCCACGATTTGGTATGGGAAGTGCTAAACAAATTAAAAAGAAAACAGAAGGATGGATTGTTGAAGATAAAGTTGGATTAAGTGATAATCCATTTGAAGGAATTGATAAAAAGAAATTAAAAGAAGAAACAAAACCAAGTAGAAGTGGTAAAAAAATAAAGAAATCATTAAGTAAAATTAAATTAACACCAGGAACTATTGGAAAAGATGGATATATGAATAAAAAAGATGCACAAAAATTATTAAAAATTGCACAAAGATCATCAGCATCAATGGGTAATTTCTCTAAGAATTTAACAGGAGAAAAGATTGTTGCAAAGAAAAGAAAATTAAAACAATCAGATTTTGTTAAAGGAGGTGATAAGGCAAAGAATATGAGAGTATTAGATCGACTTACTAAAAAGAAAAATTAACTATCTCAACAGAAATTTATTGATTGAAAATGAATAATACTTTTTTTTACTAAATACTTTTTTTATTGGTTTTAATGTTTAAATTTATAAATAAAGAATAATTGAATATTATGATAGAAAGATGAACAAACTAGTATTTAAAAAGAAGAATTTTTTTTAAGTAAAAAAGAACAATTTTATATTAAATAAAAAAAGTAAGAAAAAAATAGAAAATGAAAAATAAAAAGAAGAGAAAATAAAGAAAAAAAAAAAAAAAAAAAGAATAATTAATAAATAGGGAAAAAATAAAAAAAAAATAATTAATAGATCTTGTGATAGAAATAACTCTAAAAGAAGAACTACAAAAATCAATTAATTAATGAAAGCACTTGTATTAGGTGGTACTGGCTTTGTTGGAAGAAATTTAGTCAAAATGCTTGTTGACAGTAATGAATATTCATTCATTAGATCAGTAGATAAAGTCTTCCCAGAAACAGCATATCTTAGTAAAGAACATGCATCAGTATATGAAAATCCAGAGAAGTGTGTATTTGTACAAGGAAATTTAGTAAATGCAGCAAGTGTTAATAAAATGTTTAGTATTGAAGGAGGATTTGATGTTGTTTTTGATTGTGCAGCTGAAACTAAACTTGGACAAGATGAATTTATGTATGAACAAAAGACATATGGATTAACTAAACTTGTTGCAGAAGAAGCAGTTAAACAAAAAGTAAAGAGATTTATTCATTTAAGTAATGCACAAGTATATGATTCATCATCTAAAGCAAAAGATGAAAAAGCTAAAATTAAACCATGGACTAAACTTGCAGCATCACAAGCTAAAGCAGATGAATTACTTATTGGAATGAAAGAATTACCATTTGTTATTTTAAGACCAGCTATTATTTATGGACCAGGAGATGTAACAGGAATTGCACCAAGAATTATTTGTGCAGCAGTTTATAAATATACTAAAAAGAAAATGGAATTTTTATGGACAGGAGATATGAAATTAAATACTGTTCATGTTCATGATGTTTGTAAAGCTATGATGTTATGTGGAAAAATTGATGGACCAATTAAAAATGGAGAAATTTATAATCTTTGTGATAAGAATGATACTAATCAAAAGAAAATTAATACAATTCTTGAAGAAATCTTCCAAATTAAAACAGGATTTAAAGGAACAATTATTTCTACAGCAGCAGAAAAACTTGGAATGGATGGTGTTTGTGAAACTGTTAATGATGAACATATGAAACCATGGTCTCAACTTTGTAAAGAAGAAAATCTTATTGGAACACCATTATCACCATATCTTGATCAAGAACTTCTTTATAACAATCCATATTGTATTGATGGAAGTTCAATTGAAAAGAAAGGATTTGTTTATGATTATCCAGAAGTTACTACTGAACTTGTGAAAGAAGAAATTAAGTATTTCTCAGACCAAAAACTTTTCCCAAGTTATGCTTAAAGTTTTTCTATTCAAATTCTTTATTTTTTTTTTATTATTGTTTAATTTTTTGTTATAAAATTATTTTATTAAAATTTAAAAAAAAAATATAAATTAAAAACAAAAATTATCTTTTGGTTATTGATATGGCATTATTTCATTTGTTTTTATTTCCATTAAATTAGGTGTAAATAATAATTGAGGTGGTTGAACTTGAGATTCTTGTTGTGTTGTTTGAATCATTTTATTCTTTTTCGCTAATAAATTATATTTATCTTTTTCTACTGGATCTAATTTTTTCCACATTTCAGATAAAATAGTTAATACTTCTTTTCCATTATATTTTGTTCCTAATTGTTCTCTATGTTCTTTACAGAATAAAAGATATGGATGACAATCTTCTTTAATTTTAGCTTCTTTCTTTTTTTTTCTTCCTAATGATTCTTCATCTCCAAGCATAGTATTTTCCATAATTGCAGCTTTATAAAATAATCGAGTAACATCTGCTGTTTCTTTTCTCCATCTTCGTTCTGCTTTTTTTTCTGCCCTTTCAACATCATATGATTGTTCTCTTAATAATTTTCTTACTTTCCATCTAATATAAATTTCTTGTGCAATCTCTTTTAATATTTCTTCACGACGATCTGATTTATGATCTCCTTTTCTTTTTTTTCTTTCTTTTTTCTCTATGAATGGTTCTGGTACTTTTTCAAATTCTAATGTTCTTTGTAATTGTTGCTGATCTATTTCTGTTTGTCCTTTTTCTTGATGAATCTGATAAGGAGTAGGTGGTTGAGTAATATATGATGTAATTTGTGGCATATTGATAATTCCAAGATCAGGTTCTACCATTCTAATTTGATTCATAAGTTGTCTTGATGCTTGTTCATCCATTTTCTTTTTTTTATAATCTTTAATATTTAGATGATTTCCCAGATTTTTAGGGCTTTTTACTATTTCTTTAAACTTTTTTATTTTTATTAAAATTTCGTTATTAATCACATTTTTTTTATTTTCAGTTCAATTATTATAATTATTTTTCTTTTATTTCTTTATGATTTATTTATTTATTATATTATAATTATATTCTTCTTTTCTTATTTTTAAAAATTATTTAATTTAAACCAAACAAACAAAGAGGTAATTCTTCTTACTTAGTTAACTTTTGGAAGTGGACCTTTTGTTGTAGCTAATTTGAAGTAACATCCATCAGCAATAATCTTTCCATCTTTCTTAAGTTGTTGATATTCTTCTTTAGTATATTTAGTGAATCCCCATTTGTTAGAAATAACAAGTTTTTGTCTTCCTGCAAATTTATAACATGCAAGTCTAAATGATTTAATCATTGCTGGAAGATGTTGTTCTTTACATCTTCCTGAAATAAGAACTTGTCCAACTTTAACACGAGCACATGACCCATATGATTTACCCCATGCTCCTCTCATACCAGTTTGAAGTCTATCAGCTCCAGCACATGAAAGCATTTTATTAATTCTAAGAACATGGAATGGATGAATTCTAATTCTAACATGGAATCCATCTTTACCTGCATATTTAAGCATATTCTTATTAATTGAAATACGTGCTGCTTCCATAGCTTCTGATGAAATATTTTCTCTTTCAAGTCCAACAATGTGTACACAACATGGGAAATCATCACATGGTGCACTTCTATTTCCAATATCAAATAATTTAATTCTTGGATCTGGAACACCACGACAATATTTTGATTTTGGATATGGATGTCCTCTAACAAGTCTATAACATCTTCCTGGTCTTCTTCCCATCTTTTAACAAAATCCTCTTCATTTTCTTAGTTATTCCTACCCTTTAAAACCCTTTTTCTATTTTTTTTATTTTTTTTATTATATTTTTACTATTTATTTTCCTTTATTTTAACTTCTCATTTTCTTATTATTTTTTTTCTCTTCTTATTCTTCTTTTTATTTATCCTCATTTCTTTATTCATGGTTTGGACTCTTTATCATCCTTCTCTTCCAAAACCACTCAACTTATTTTGTAATGAAAAATATCAAATTGGTAGAAATCCAACTGTTCCTGATGGTTTTATTTTGATTCAACTCCCACATCACAGTATTAGTGGAAGTCATCTTCATATTGAAATTAAAACTTATGATTCAGGTTTAAGAATGCACCCAATTAGAATTACTGATTTATCTACTTATGGTACTTTTTTTGGTGGTACAGAACGTTTAGAAAAATCTCGTCATTATACAATAACAGAACGTAGATTTATTTTAAAACTTGCTTCAGAACCAAATGAAATTGAATTAAAATATACAAATTATGATTTTTATTGTCTTGGAATTATTCCTCCTCAACGTATTCAAACAGAAATTCTTCGATTTGGAATGTTTGTTGAACAAATAGAAGATTGTTCTCATGTTGTTTGTAAACAAGTTATGGAACTTGAAGAAACTGCTATTGGATTAATTTGTGGAAAAAAATTTATTACTCAAAAATGGTTTTCAGCAATACAAGATATTGAACATTCATTTCCTGATGAAAAACAATTTTTCCCTCCAAATGAATATCCAGAAAATGGAGAAATTCCATGTAATGATGAAAGAAAACATTTATTTAATCAATGGTCATTTATTGGTGGAGATGAAAATACAACTGGTTTAGTTAGATTATGTGGTGGACAATCTGGTATTAATAGAAAATTTGTTTGTTATATTGAAGATGGAATATCAATTGATGAACTTTCAATTGATCATTACAAAATTACACCAGATGATTTAGTTAAAGCAATTATCTATGAAAATCTTCAGATCATTCAACATACTCATATTATTGTTAAAAATAATCAAATTGAAAATTTATCAATTATTAATTTAGAAAATGATGATAATTTTAATAAAAAACAAGATATAGAATTTGAAACTTTTGAAGAGCCAATGATAACTGATATTTCATTTCAATCAAAAAATTTACCAACAGAAGTAGTTGATGTTGATTCAAATAAAACTATATTTTGTGAATTTGGAAATAAATATTCTTCAACAGAAAATAATGAAATACTTAATCAAATCAAAAAAGAAGAAATTAAACCAAAATCAATTAGTCAAATAAGTCGTCAAAATCTTTTAAAACAACGAATAGCAAATTTACCACAACAATCTTTCATTGATGAAATTAAAGAATTTAAAGAAACAATATCAGATATACCATTAGCAACTCAAATAGTTCATTTTAAACCAAAAATAATTTTTAAGAAACAACCAATGATAAGATATTTATCAGATGATATTAAATTTACTTTTATAAGCTTCAAATGATTTTATATTCAAGTTCATTTTGTTTTAAATACATTTATTATTTTCTATTTTTTTTTTATATATAGATAACTAAAAATTCAAATTCATGGAATTAGAAAACTTAAAACAACAGTTTGATGTATATCTAGAAATTGTTGGAGTTTGTAAATAAAAAAAAAAGAATATTAGGATATTTATAATATTAATTAAATAGGATGAAGTTGAAAAAGTTGGAGAAAATGAATGGCAAACTACTATTGAAGATGAACATCATTCAAATATTAGTATAATTCTTACATTTAAATTTAATGAAAATAAATTACCATATTTTACAAGTTCAATAGAATTACCACCATTTTCTGATTTTATTAATTTTGATGAATTTAAAATGAAAAATAATGAAATGATTTCAGTTTGTCATTATATCTAATTTTTATTTCATTTCAATTAGATATGATAAATAATCTTTTTAGAATTTCTTAGTTGATGAAGAATCACCATTTTTTAATTTATATACTACACTTAAAACATTAATAGAAGAATGGAATGATAAACAAGGAGAAAGTAGTTCATCATTATTTGAACGATTAGAACGATTTGATGAAATACCAATTCAAGATTCAACAAATGAAAGTAAAAATACAACAAATTATAGTCAATCAGTAACTATATGGAAAGATTTTCATTATGATACATTAAGAATATCAACAACAAAAAATAAATTGGAAGTTATTGAAAAGATTCTTGATATTCTTAAAACACCTGATTATAAATATATTGAAAAATATACTATTATACGTTATTATAATGATGAAATATGGTTAATGAAACCATGTACAGGAAGTGTTTTATTTGATATAATATTTAATATTGATAATATATCACAACCATTATCTCAATTAATGAAAGCATTCCAATATCTTTATTCTCATGGATTATTTCATGGAAATGTAACTAAAGAAAGTATTGTTTATACACCATCATCAAATGTTAATGTTGCAGATTGGGTTATAATATATTTATTAGAAGGTAATTTATATCCAGATTCTCCTCTTTTAAGAGGAAAGTTTGTTATTAATTTTAGTATTTATAATATATAAATTATTAAAAGATAAAATTAAAATAATAGTATTCTCAAAAAAGATTTAGAAGCAATTGCTTTATTAATTGAAGAAACAATTGGTGGAATGAATTTAAGTGTTCAATTAACTGGATTTATTCAAGCATTAAGAAATCATAATTCAATTGATCTAACAACGTTAATTAAATTAGCACAACAAATACCATCAATAACATCTAATTCATCTATGTTTGAATTAGGAGGAGAATATGAAGAAGCATCAACAATATCAGAAATGATTGGATTTCAAGCATATTATAGAAATAGAGATAATCAATTTTATTGTTTTCAAGATATTGATTTAACAAGATTACCTGTTCATATTATTCCTGAAGTAAAAACAAGATTATATAAATTTTGTCAAACTCATAATAAATATTTTCAATATTACTTTTTTTCTCAACCAATTTTAATGGTTAGAATGTCAATTACTGAAGTTCCTTTAAATTGGTATTTACAACAAAAGAAATTATTACAAAATAAAGAATTAACAAGAAAATGGTTTATAAGAATAACTAGTAGTATTTATTCATTACATCAAGAATCAATTGGTCATGGATCATTATCATTAAAACATATTTTTATTAAAGATGATGAAATAAAATTAGCATTTTTTGATTTAATTACACCAATATCAACAGTAATAGCAAAAGATTTAATTTCATTAAAAAAATTATGGATTATTTTAGGATGGTATTATTTCTATGAAAATATTAAAGAAAGTGAATTAGAGAAATCATCATTTTTAACTAAATTACAAATTATCTTTCCTGAAACAATTAATATTCAAAAAGCAAAAAGTGTAGAAGAAATAATGTCTATAATTCAATCATTTGATCCAAAAACGAAACAACTTTTTCGTAATTTATAACAGAACAAC